ACCCCCCCCCCCCCCCCCTCCCCTGACCCCGTCATCCATCCCGATCTCTATCCTGGCTTTACTTGTCACACCACCCACCCCATGTCAGCTGCTTGGGCCCTCTTGCCGCCCGCCAGAATGCGCCAGTCACTCACTCCTCATAGCGGTCAGGCTGCGCCTCAGCCAAGACTGATCGACATAAAGAGAACACGAGAATGCATCGCATCAATCTCTCCCTCTCTCCCTTATGTGTTCGTCTCACCTTCAGCAGTGATGGTGTATGGCTTTCCGACTCCCACGACCTGCAGCAAGCTCGCCTGCGCGGCGCTCGACGGCGACGGCGTTCCAAACGAGGTCAGCATCGACGATCCAGAGAACTGACGACCCACATCCATCCCACCAACACCACCGCCGCCACCACCAATACCCCCACCCTGCACCGACGAACGACCCGGCGTGCTGGGAGCAGAGAACGGGCTCGTGAAGGGGTGCGCCAGGCTTACACGCAGCGACACACTCTGGTGGTCGGGCGAGTGGAATGGGGCGAGGGGGAAGGGTGGGGGAGAGGGGGATGACGGCCGCGAGCTGAGCTGGCCGCCGTCGCCCGATGACACGGGCGAGGAGTCCATCGGCATCATGGGGTGGTGCCTGCCGGCGGACCGCGCCGGCGAGTCCTCGACCATCACGCCATCGGTCTCCGCCCGATTCCGGTGATGCTGCATGAACGCCCGGGCGCGGTGGCCCCGCTTGTGTGCCCTCAGCCCAGCCACTGGGACCATTGCAGGCGCTGTGTCTGCTCTGGGTGGTCCCCGGCCGCTCGAAGCAGCCCCCAAGGCATCCATAAAGAGCTGCGGACCGCCCGAGCCCGCTCTCAGGTGTGGTGGGCTGGGTAATGGCGGCAGGGCAGCAGCAGTGTGTGTGGCGGCCGAGTTGACGCGCGAGCGGCCCCCGCCGTAGGTGAGCAGGGTGGTGTTGGTCGAGTCGGTGTAGCTGGTGTAGTTGGTGCTGGCGTGGCTCATGCTGGAGAGCTTCCGGCTGGCAAATGGGAGGGAGGGGACGGGGGAGTGCATGTGGGGCGAGATGGCGCCTGACGCAGACGGCGGCCCCTTGCTGATGGGGCCTGAAGCGCCTCCTTCAAAAGACAGCGACCGCCATCGAGACAATAATAACGAAGACGAAGAAACGGGATGCTGGCCATGACCCTCAGCCTCTCCCCCTCCCATTCCCTGCTGCAATTGCTCTTGCTCTTGCCCTTGCACTGGGCCAGCCACGGCGCCGTCACTCATAGATCTCGCCTCCCTCGCCATCTGCAGCGCCCGCTGACTCTCGTCCGACATGATGCGGCACCTGCCTTGCCATATCGGCAGCGAGTGCGCGCTCATCGGCGTGTCGTGGGCCGACCCCGGCCACTGACCCACGTCCTCCATCACACACGAGGCCGGGAGGGGCAGCGGAGCCGTCGTGCTGTCTTCTCGGGACGATGGCGACTGCGTCTGTGTGTGGGGGCTGATTGGGGGAGGTGGTGGGGGCGGGGGAGGCGGCGACGGTGTGAATGTGCCGTTGGTGACATTGATGGTGTCTGGCGGTGCTGCTGGTGGTGCGGTGGTTGCGGCGTCGGCTGTGTCGGCTGCGTTGTTGGCGGCTCCATTATTCATCATGGTCATCATCATCATCTTTTTGTTGGCCCGCATGTGGTTCCGCCGGTCGTACTCCTTCTGCTTCTTCTTGACGGCCAGCTCCTTCTTCTGACCCTCCGTCAGCCGATACCTGAAGCACGCCACGGTGTGTGTGTGTGTGTGTGTGCGTGTGTGTGTGTGCGTGTGTGCGTACTTGCGTGTCCTGACTTCCTGAATGCCGTGTGCGTGTCGGCATGCCAGGCCGAAAGGGCAGCTGCCCTGCTTCCAAAACTTGCACAGCGCTGCATTAAAGGAACCAACGAACGCACATGACATGGCGATGGAGCGAGGCAAACACACACGGGTTTTCACTCCTTTGTTTACCTACCTGTCTTGTAGTAGTCATCGGTGCACCGCAATTCCTGCTCCCTGGTGGAGTGAGTGGAACGTGACGCACGACAGACAGACAGACAGACAGGTCAATCCAATATATTCGTCACGTCAACCACTCAATCACACACATAGCCCTCCCTGCCCGCCCCGCCTGTCTACCCGTCCATCCCATCTCCTCACCCGTGGGCAAATTTGCAGTTGAGATCATGACACACGCTCTGAAGCAAAACAGACAGACGGCATCCATACCAGCCACAGCCATCAGCAGAATAATGCGTGTGCAGTTGAGGTGGCCAGCGATTCATTCATTCATTCATTGTGAGTCACTGGCAGCTCACGTGCAGCCAAGCTTCGCAGAGTTTGGTCTTCCTGAGGTCCTGCAGGGGGTTCAGCTCTGCCGGCGAGTGGGCGTAGGTGCACCACTGACCCCGCACACAACTCCCCTAAAGACACACACACATGCGACACGCCATCCAACAGAACAAACACTCAGTGGAAAGGATTATGTGACTGATATGACGTCTGTCCCTCTCTCTCCTCCAGCCATGCGTGTGTGTGTGTGTGTGTGCGATTCATCATCTCATCTCTGTCTGATTGCTGATAGCCGCGCTTCCTCTGATCTCTCCATCTGTCTGACTGTCTGGCTGTCTGAGTTGTGGCCGTGTTTTCTTCTCACCCGCAGAATGTGCGGACACATCTTCGTCTGAAAGGACACACAGACCAAACCGACACGTCATCCAATGCATTCGCAGCACACACACGACCCCGCAATTTCGTTTTTTGTCCTTTCTGGGTCATTCACCTTGTAGAATTGGTCCATCTCGGTGAGCCATTCTCATCCGGTCATCCTCTAGTCGCGTCTATGCCCTCTGCGTGTCAATAAGGCAGGACCGACGGGTGTTTACGTACCCTAACAATTTTCTGCAGAAACTTCGACGAAGATTTAACTCATCCGCCGCCCTTTCAACACGCAGAAGGAAGCAGCAGACGGCACAACCAGACCATCCTGCGCAAAGCGCGGCGAGTCACCGCCAACTCCAGTTGCGAGCTCAGCTTGTCCGTGAAACAAAGAGGCGAGCTGTGAGAAGCAGATCTCTCGACGCGAAAAGTCCAACCGCTGTGTTTGATCTGAAGGCTCCTTCCTGCAAAACAGATGGTTCAGTTTGAGGATCTTGACGCGGGTCCCGACCCACGTGAGATGAAGGACGAGGGCAACAGGCTCTTCAAGCAGGGCCGCTACGACGAGGCCGCCGCCGTCTGGGCTGCAGCACTGGACAGGCTGAGAGATCTCTTGCCAGACAGGCCGGGCGGGCGTGTCAACGAGGAAGATGCGGAGCTTGCCGAGTGCCGCTCGTCGATATACGGCAACATGTCGCTTGTCAACCTCAAAAGGGAGGCTTACAAGGACGCTATCGGTGAGCACAGCCATGCAGACACACCAAACAGGGTGATATACGTGTTGCCATCTCCCCCTCTCTGTGTGTGTGTGGTTGTGTGTGATTGTCAGCTTACTGCGACAAGGTGCTGGCGTCGGACCAGGCCAACGTCAAGGCCCTCTACCGCAAGGCAGAGGCGCTCCGGAAGCTCCCGAGCGACCAGGGCGGCGGCGCGTGGGCCACAGAGGAGGCCAAGGTCACCCTGCAGGCGCTGCTGGAGGTCGATGCAACCAATGCCGCGGCCAAACAAATGCTCAACGTGAGCAAAATTGCTGTGAATGGCTATGCGCGTTATTTGTGTGTCATGTCGTGTGGTGTAGGAGATAGAGCATGAGGAGCGTCGCGGGGCGGCCCGGAAGGCATTCACGCAATGGAGTCCCCTCTACCCCGACCCCCCTGCTGCAGCTGCAGCCTCAGCCACCAACGGCACCCCGCTGCCCCCCTTCCCCGCACCTGTGGATGTGGACATGCTCAAGGGCTCACCTGACTCTCTCACAGATGAGGTCTGGTGGGAGCTGACCCCACCCACACACAACGAGAGAGAGAGAGCAAGAGCGCGCGCGCGAGAGGGAGAGAGGGAGGGAGGGAGGGAGGGAGGGAGGAGGTCGTGTGTCGGTGTGTGGCTTGTTCAGATGTTGGCTCTTCTGAGGTCGAATGGCATTGCTGTGTGTCGTGCCGGTGCCGAGTCGTCGATGAGTGACCGAGGGTTTCACGAGGCGTCGGCGGTGTTCGCGAGTGGCGTGTTTGACCGGCCTGAGAAGCCTTCTAGTAACCCTGTCGCCATGCTCAATCCCGTCGTCAAGCAGCTCCACTCGATCACGCAAAAGGTGAGTAGGGGGTGAGGCAATCGACCCAATAGTACACACAGAAAGAGAGAGTTGATGTGGTTGATGTGTGTGTCTTGATGTGCTGCAGAGGTTGTTCGAGCATCTGGAGCACGACAGCGGCGATGTGAGCACCACTGGAGCGCTGGCCAACCTGCTGGAGCTGGTGCTCACCTTCGCAAAGTCGATGTGCAAACGGGCCAACGTACGCAAAGACACAAATCGACACACAACCGCACCCACCTGTGCGTGGCTCCCTGCTCCATCCACTTGTGTCAGAGCACACTAGGTCTGCAGCTGACCGGCCACACCGATCCACAGCTCTGGTGCTTCGACGGTAAAAGAGCACGACACAGAGAGCACAGCACACGCACCATTCCTGGCTGCTGTCTGTGTGGTGGATGCAGGCAACGACGACCGGTACACATGGCATCTGGACAACGCGTCCAAGAGTCCCATGCGGCAGCACGATGACGAGCGGCGGCTGACGCTGCTCTACTTCTTCTCGAGCGACCTGCTGTGGGACACTGAGAGAGACGGGGGCGCCATCAAAGCCGTCAAGACCACGGTAAGGCCTGGGAAAGAGGGAGAGGGTGTTGGGTGCACTCTCGCTCTCTCTCTCTCTCTCCCTGTGTGAGTGGCTGCAGGATGGCGCTCTGCCGGCCCGTGACATATCAACGCTGCTCGACCATCTGGAGGAAAACCCTGACGTGAGCCGAGCTCTGCAACACACCACAACAAACCAACACGTCCGTCCTCAACACATTCTCTGGTGTGTATGGGATGGGTGGACTGATGCGATGCAGAGCGAGCGTGTACTCGACCCCCACACAGACACCCTCGTGCTGTTGCGGTCAGACACCACATGGTGAGTAAGCGAACGAGTGAGACCCGCCACACAACACCAGCCCCAACACCCATTGCTTGCCGTATGTCGTGTCTTCCTGCCTGCAGGTGGCAGTTGCAGATGTGCAAGCGTCGCCTGTTCTGCATCGTGCTGTGGCTGTCGGGCTCGCCAACAGGCCCCGCACCACCACCACCCGCCAGTGTGTCGACGACAGACGGGCAGCCACAGCCAAAGCCAAGCGAGCAGCCCAGGCGGCCGTCGAGGAAGGTCCGGGCGTAGCTGGGAGGGGGGCTGTTTTGTTGTAAGGCAGGTCGGGGTGAGGTGCGTCTGTTGTTGTCTTGCGAGCGAGAGGGCCGTTAAGTGGCCGTGTGTGTATGTCGGATGGATGGATGGATGGCTGCTGTGGTGGGGTCTGAACAGTCGTGCTATCTACCCCTCTGTTGGTATCGTCGTTCGGTTGGTGTGGGAGGTCGATTCTGGCTCGTTTGATCTTGAGTTCGGTGCCCTTCGCAGGAATGCCTGGACCCAGGTGTTTTTGCATTGGGCAGCGTGCCGTGTGTCAAACGAGCCAGGACCGGCCAACATCCAAGAGAGAGAGAATGGAAGAGCCAGAGACAGACAGGTGTGTGCTTGCTGCGTGTTCAAGGGCGGGCTTCTCACGTACTGCGTCGTGATGCAACATCGCCGCTGCATGTCAGCAATGTCGGTGTGACATCACGGCACGGTGTCGCGGGAAGCCCACAACGATGCACGAAGCGAATGACACACGCGTGTGAATGCGGGTGTGGGTGTGTGGTTGGTGTCAATCCACAGGCATTCATTCAACGAACATGCAAACATCCACGCGCACATCCAGGAATGACACACGTGTGTCCGTCCATCGCCAACACGCACACCACCGATCCTGTCCATCCGCCTGTCATCCATTCCACTAACAGCTGCACACATGACTGAGTCTTGCCGTCTGCTCGCTCATCCCTGCCGCTGCCTCTCTCGCCTGTCTGCCCAGCCCTTCGTCGGTGACCCGGCTGTGTGACTGTCAGGGACAGAGAGAGGGAGGGAGGGAGGGAGGGGGGGCTGAGGGGGCAGCAGACAGGAAGGAACCAAAATCGTCACCCACGCTCACACACGCACATGTCTGAGTGAGCTCTACCCATGTATTCCATCCACCCATCGTCTACCGACAACCGAGCTACATCGGCCGCACGCCAACCAGACTCACGTATCTGACGCACAGACAGGCAACAGAGAGACAGGGAGAGATGCGCGCGTAGGGATCGGTGGGAGAGGCTGGCTGTCTGTCTGAGTGGATGCAGCTGGGGATGGTCTGCAGGCCTGTCTCTCACCTGGTGTGCGGCGCTCGACAGACAGGGTGTCGACGAGCATGCTGACCTTGAGACCGGCGCCGGCCAGCTGCGCCAGGAAAGGCTGCTCGACGCGACGACGCGACCCAAAAGTCATCTTGATCTGAGTCCTCTTGTGGCCCTGGCGACGCGACCAGAGAGACGTAAAGCAGATTGCCCAGCAGCCATCTGTCTGTCTGTGTCGGGCACCTTGAGCTTGCTGGTGAACGAGATCACCGCGGCTACCATGCTGCTGTAGAATGCCTCGAACTGGTCATCCGCTACCGTGCCTGAAACAAACGAACAAACAAACAAAGAAACAAAGCACCATACACACACAGACGCCACGCCGAATGGCCGACCCCCTATTAATCGTTCCTGCTTACTCCTCACGTCAACATGCACTTCCTCGATCGGCGGCAGCTTCGTGGTGTCACGGTGCCACAGACAGGGGTGGTCGCGGTCGTGGGGGTCTGTGAAGGTGAGCGTGTGGGCCGATAGGCTGAGACCCACTGACGACAGGCTCCTCTCCGCCCACCCCCTGCTCTCCCGCGCCGTCTGCAACCCCTCCAGGAACTGCCACACCTCACGAACAGGTGCGATCGCTGATGCGTCGATGTGCGACAGGCTGGGCATGCCGGAGGCGACCTGGACTGCGCGCTTCTTGTTGGCGAGTGCACCACCGGCCAGCCGTAGGATGTGGGCGGCAGCGAATGCGTCGTCCCTGATGGCGGCGGGGATGGTTTCGTGACGCCCGCTGTAAGTCACGGTGCCGGCAGTCTTCGCGAAGCCGCCGATGAGCTTCTGGGCAGCGGGAGTACCGGTCCTGCGGCTGAGCGAGAGGAGCTCCGCGTCAATGCGTCCAGATGTGCCGTCGTCGTTCAGTGCGAAGACCTCCTCCCAGGCTACCTCGGGAGCCGCAACGGCCTCACTGATAGAAGACAAAGCACAATAATGTGTTGCACCGCCCGTCATTACCCCTCTCTCTTTCTGCATCCTTACATGAGCCGGGCAGCGCTCCCCGACCACACCACAGTATCGTCGTCATCATGCATGGCCCTCACGGTGATCTTGACCTCGCGAACGGACCGCTTGGCGCCCCTCGCCACCATCACCTCACGCAGCCTGTCGATCCCGCTACTGTCAGTATTCACCCACACGTCCTCATCCATAGACACACCTCGCAGTGTGTGCAGCGCCGCCAGCGACTTGCCGTTGGCGGGCAGCGCACTCAGCAGACCGGCCGCGGTCCCGAAGTAGATGTGCTTGAGGTCCAGCATCTCAATGGCCTCACAGCCGCTAACCCACGCCTTCAGGCCCTCCATCTCCTCCTCGTCATACCATGACAGATCCAAACCGGTCCCGACGATGAGCGTCGTGACGCCAGGGGTGCGCCACTGGCGGCCCACGCGAGCAGACATGCAATCGCTGGGGATGTTGTTGACGGTCTTGAGTGCCGGCAGGTGGATGCGGGAGGTGGGGGCAGGGGGCAGGTCAGATGAGGGAGGAGGGTGGGGGATGTGAATGCTGTCATCGAGTTTGACGGCCTCGAATGACAGTACCTCCAATGTGCCGTCATCAGCCGACTGCCCGCTGCCGTCAGCCTGCCGTGCCGCAGCAGCAACAGCTGTCCCCTCCCCTCCCTCACTCTTGCGCTTCTGTTTGGCTGCGATGGCCGCTCGGCCGCTGGCGTGGCCTTCTACCAGCGCCACCCAGGTCCCGCGACACCAATTCTCTCGACCCACGGGGCGCCGGTGCTTGATCTCTCTGATGTTGGTCGCCCTCTGCCCCCACCTCTGCGCCACGGCCAGCGGCATGGCCGCCCACATACGCCTGGCCTTGTCGTCCTCACAGTCGATGACCAGGTTGGCGTAGTTGGCGGCCGACTGGGTGAAGAGGCGCGTGCCGAGGGGCCGGCGGTAGCGCGTCAGCTCCCAGGGCTGCAGGTGGCCGGACACGTTGAGGAGCTCATCACACGACAGAGGGCGACGGGCCTGAGGGCAAAGAGAGAAGGCATTAATACGTTAAGGTGGGTTTGATGTATCAGGTCTATCGTGGTGTCATTCTCACCGGTTCTTCTAATTCGGGTGGACAGCCGCTCTCCTTGACCAGACGATACGATGGCCGCCGCGCCTGTGACCAATAGATCCGACGGAATGGACACAGTGCTCTATTCTGACTCTTTTGGATGGATGATGTGTACCTGTGGCTGTTGGTCGGTCTCTGCAGCTGCCGAGCTATTGGCTGATGGCGGCGTGGGGGCAGCCGTCAGAGCATCGACGGCTCCCGAAAGGCCCGACTCGACAGACGACAGCTGAGTGACGGCGGCTTTGACATAAGACTCCAGAAGGGACAGCTGAGTGGGCACCAGCAGCGACTCATGGGACGATGCCTGCAAGACCACCGGAGGGCACCAAACAATGTGCCGTGACCTGCTGCCCAGTGCGGACTCTGTGTGTACCTCGGCAGGGTCCAGCTGCTTGATCTTCGACAGATGAGCACCAACCTGATGCAGAGAGGAACAACAAACACAGCGAGAGGGTGTGGCGCTGGGCCTGTCAGGTGCGTTCATCACAGCATACCTGCGAGTGGAGCTGCACTAATTCCTGCAGGGCCTGCTCCACACGCGCCGCCTGATTCTTCAACTGAACACAACACACAACACACAACACACAACATGACACCACAGCCGTTGGATGGAAGCTGCTGGCTTCTCTTGCCCGTCAGTCCGCCACCCACCTGAGCTGTATCCATGGCGCCGATCATATGCCGCTATCATTGGTCCGCATGAACGGCGAACAAGCCTGCACCGCAGACACAAAACCAACCAGATCAGGCGGCGGAAAGCATTGTGAAAGGGCCGTTTCTCGGTCTGAATTCTCATTTCTGTGCTCGACGTGAGTCGCCCTTCGCCCTCCCTGTAAGCCCTCGAGTTAGCCCGCCCTTGCCACGCTCACCTGGGTGGTACCACGGCGAATCACTCCGGAGGCTGGCGATGGAAAGCCAGCCACAGGTGACCCCAAACAGCAAAGCAGCAGAAATGGAAACCCCAGGAATAGGGTTTCCTGGGGTTTCAGGGTATGAACCCAGCAGATCGCAGGCTCCGCTCCTTCCTCGCCGACGAAAGGCTGATTTGCTTCCTTGCGTCAGATCGGTAGGTCGGCTGCCTTCGACAAGACAAGCGATTCATTCACACACATCATTCACAGCGGCTGTGTGTGTTTGGCGTCCTTCCTTGTCTGTCTGTCTGCAGGTCTGAGTCACTATCATGTCAGTCATCAGCAGCAGAAGCAGCGACCTGGACTCGGCCGCCGTCAACGGCGAGGCGGTCCGCCGCATCTTCCGCGACTCGCGAGTTCGGCTGCTCAAGGTCAAGGACGTCGGCAGCCTCAGAGTGGCGGCCCGCCACCACAGCCTCGTCGACTTCCCTCCCGCCGCACTCCGCACACGACTCAACCACTCGCTGCACCACAAACTGCTCGCCGACGGCACACGGCTCGACACGGTGCTGGCCTTCGACGCCCAGACGGTGTCTGAGCCACGTGTGCTGCTGGCGGCCATGTGGCTGGTGGAGGAGCAGACGTGGGACGAGGTCGTCGACATACTGCGGCTGGCGGCGCAGTGCGGCCGGTGCA